TTTGAAACAAAGAAGATCAAAACATACAATCAGAAGAAGACAGCAAAGTCAAAGTTCCTACATCCACATCCTCCAAGAAAAATATGAATTGCTCCCAGGCCATGGAAGAGTTCAATAAAGATTTTGAGAAGCAAGTAAGAGAAGTAGAGGAAAAACTGAGAGTGATGCAAGAAGATCATGAAAAACCAAGTCAACAGCTTGCTAAAGGAGACCCCAAAAAAAATACTGAAGAAAATAACATCTTAAAAAATAGCCTAACCCAAATGGCAAAAGAGGTCCAAAAAGCCAATGCAGAGAATGCCTTAAAAAGCAAAATTGGCCAAATGGGAAAAAAAAGTCCAAAAGTTTACTGAATAAAACTCTTCCTTAAAAATTAGAATGGAACAATTGGAAGCTAGTGACCTTATGAGAAACCAAGACACTGTAAAAGAAATCCAAAAGAATGAAAAAAAAAGAGAAAACAATGTGAAATATGTCATTGCAAAAACAACTGACTTGGAGAATAGATCCAGGAGAAGAATTTAAAAATTATTGGACTATGTGAAAGCCATGATCAAAATAAATAAATAAATAAAAATAAAAGCCTAGACATCATCTTAGGAATCATCTAGGAAAACTGCCTTGATATTTTAGAACTAGAGGGCAAAATAGAAATTGAAAGACTCCACAGATCACCTACTGAAAGAGATCCCCAAAGGAAAGCTCCTGGGAATATCGTAGCCAAATTTCAGAATTCCCAGGTCAAGGAGAAAACATTGCAAGCAGCCAGAAAGAAACAATTCAAGTACTGTGGAAACACAATCAGGATAACACAAGATTTAGCAGCTTCTACATTAAGGGACCAGAGTGCTTAGAATATGATATTCTGGAGGGCAAAGGAGGTAGGATTACAATCAAGAATCACTTACCCAGCAAAACTGAGTATAATCCTTCAGGGTAAAAAGTGGACCTTCAGTGAAATAGCAGACTTTCAAGCATTCTTGATGAAAACACTAGAGCTAATTAGAAAATTTGACTTTCAGATACAAGACTCAGGAGAAACATGAAGAGATAAACAGGAAAGAGAAATTATAAGAGACTTATTAAAGTTGAACTGCTTACATTCTGCATGGAAAGATGATATTTGTAACACATGAGTCCTTTGTCAGTATTAGAGCAGTTGGAGGTGAATATATATACATATATATGTGTGTGTATGTAAATGGATAAATGGATAGATAGATAGATAGACAGATGATACAAGGTAACATGAAAGGGGGATATCTGGAGAATAAAATTAAGGCATGAGAGAGGATTATACTGGGAGAAGAAGAAATGGGGAGGTAGAATGGAGTAAATTATCTCATATAAAACAGACAAGAAAAGGTTTTTACAGCGGAGGGGAAACAGGGGAAGGTGAGAGGGAATGAGTGAATCTTATTCTCATTGGATTTGGCTTGAGTAGAGAATAACATACACATCAATTGGGTATAGAAATCTATCTTACCCTACAGAAAATGGGAGGGAAGGGGACAAGAGAGCAAGAGGATGAGAGAGGGGAGGGCAGATGGAGGAGGGGATAATCAGAAGCAAACACTTCTAAGGAGGGACAGTGTCAAAAAAGGGAATAGAATAAATGGGGGGGTAGGATGAAGGGAAATATACTTAGTTTTTCACAATATGACTACTATGGAAGGGTTTTGCATGACTACACATATATTACTCATATCAATATGCTTGACTTCTCAATGAGGGTGGATGGGGAAGGAGGAAGGGAGAAAATTTGGAACCTAAAATTTTTAAAACAAAAATTTAAAAAAAATGTTTTCACATGCAACTGGGGCATAATATATACATTAAATGGGGCATAGAAATCTATCCTGCCCTACAGGAAAATTGAAGGGGAAAGAGATAAGAGAAGGGGGGAGAGATAGAAGGGAGGGCAGATTAGGGGTATTCAGAATGCATGCCATCTTGGGGTGGAGGGAGGGACAAGATGGGGAGAAAATCCGGAACTCAAAATCTTGTGGAAGTGAATGTTGAAAACTAAAAATAAATTAATTTAAAAATTAAGAAAAAAAATTAAGAAGAAAAAAAGGGTGTATATATGAAAACTAATTGGAAAGCAAAATGCCTTTTTTTCATCTAGGTCAGGCTAGATTCTGTTCTATTGAATATTATAGTATGTCTCCTTATCTTATATGGATTATTACTTCAAGTAGATTAGACATTTACAATTTGTCTGCAATGTACTGAAGTGGTTTTTTATAACCTAAGCGATTTACAAATTATGAATAAAGTTTTGCATGCCCTTATGGGGAAAAGTCACAGAAGCATTTGAAACGATAAAATGTACATTTAAAGGGGGATGTGTTTGTTATGCTATAGACTACATTCATGTGGCATAAAATGTTTTATCAGGGAGGTAGACAACAGATGATGAATACTACTGTAGCTAACTTGCCATATTATTCATGTTCTGATTAAAAAAATACTTAAAATCAATGGTATTAAAACATGAAGTAGCATGGTCTTTTAGAAGAGACAGAATTTCAGAGGGCATTTCAAACCCTTCACTTCACATTTGTAAATAGAAACAAAAGGAAACTGAGGTTCAAAGAGATGAAGGAGGTAGTTAGTGGCAGAGGCAGTGCTAAACCACTGGTCCTAAATCGTTCCTGGCTTATCTATCTACACAACAGCCTTGTCTTTGTTGAGAAGGATATCTTTTGGATATCTTTGACTTGTTAGCCTTTATCATTCAGTGGTTCATAGTATCATCCATGTCGATTTGTGTAGGAAGATGATATTGCACAATTAAAATTATGGTTGCACAAAGAGCAAATACAGTATCAATTTTTAGAGAGCAGGAAAAAAAACCACTTTGGAATCCAATGCTTTGAATACCTTGTGGCTTTTCTACCATAAACCTGAATTAAAATATCAAAGTAACCAGAAGAAATATCTAGGGTGGTGATCAACCCCAGAATATCATCATTTGCCAACGTACTAGAAAACTCATGAATTCTGGGTTGTTTTTTTTTTTTGGTAAAATTGGGGTTATTCACAATTAATGGGTACAAAAGAATGAAATAAATAATGGTAAGAAAGCAAATGTTGGTTTCAGGGAAGTGAAAAAGACTACTAGGCCCCAGGACCAGGGCTCTAGCATACTCATTTTTAATGTAAATGCCTGGTTCCCTTGGACAATATGATTTACAAAAAAAAAAAAAAACAAAAAACAAAAACATGCAAAAGTTTCACTATTAGTAAAAGTCAAAGAAAACAGTTGTCACTTTATTATTACTCTAAGGTTTACTACAAAACAATGAAGATATGAGGTTTATGACAATAGCTTAATGATTCCTCAAAAGTTCAAAAGAACTCAGAGATCACCAATTTTGAGTCTAATAAAGGGATAAGCGATGCCATTACTGCTGCAGTTACCAATCAAATGATGAATTTTTACCATTTTTTTTGATGAACAGAAAATGAGGTGGAAAAAATAAATGTCTCATAGTGAAAGATGAGTATTTGAAGGAAAGCAGATATATTTTGTAATAGCAAATAATTGTAATTAATTTTTCTTTTTATTCCTATCCCTAGTTCTTTTAACATTTTACAATTCTAACATTAATATATTTATACATACATTATGATTTTGGCTTGTATAGAAAATGTTTTTGGTTACTATATATTTCATAAAGTCAATGTTTACATTCTGATATCTTCCTTGAACATATTTATGAATAGCTTTATCTATCACTAATAAGCCATACTCTTCAATGTCCTTATATTTAATTGTGTTCTAGACTATAACTTTTTCTTGATTAACTTCATAGACACCACATCTTCAATGAGATTACTTAGTATAATTGTTTTTATTAAAATTGGATTAAGAATTTTTTAAAAAATGTGCTCAAAATTTTATATGTAGTTAACATGTAAAACTATTGCTTATTGAGGAACAGAACTTCACTTTTGTGAACTTCAATGTTTGTCATAACAATTTCATGTATGTAGCTATAGATAAGACTGCTTTACAGATGAACAAAATGAGGGAAAGTGAGGTTCAGTTGTGACATGACTAGCTATAGGGAATTAAAATATTTTATTGGAATATAACCTTTTTAGGCAGTAGTAATGTATACTTAAAATTATATACTGTCTTTTCTGCCATTGTGATTTCTCATTTCTTCTAAGGAAGGTTTACATAGGTCATCTCTTCCTGATATATAATGTAATGTACAGTAGTTAAGAGGGCATGATAACTCTTTCCTTTTAGCTCTGCTAGCATGAGCATGTCATCGAAGCTTTGTGCTCCTCAGTTTCATCACCATTCAAATGAGAGCAACCAGAATATCCACACTATCTTTCACACAAGGTAATAGGTCAACTGATTTGAAAAAAAAAAGTCTTATAAATGTGAGATGAATTTATTATTACAAGCCCAGATCATTAAGATTCCAAATGGCCCAGCCGGTAGGATTAAATGTTAGGAGGTAAGTCAGAAAATCTTCTCCTGTCTAAAGTTTAACTACCTGAATCACAAAGTGATGCAAATACTGACCAAAAATCTATGGTTATATGCATTTCCTTTCAAATCTCTATTCCCTGGTCCCTCTAAATCCTGTGGGTTTTGTATTTTCTTTAGAATAAAGCAAAAGCTTTATGAACCTTTTAAAATTTTGAAAAGGTTTAAAATGTATATATTTCCAAAGCTTGGATAAGTGATTTACAGAGTTCTAAAAAAGAATGTGGCTCTGCTCTCTTGTTCTTTTTCTGTTCTATCTTTATATATTCATACAGTCCCTCTGTCCGTGTGTGTATGTAAGTATGGGTACGCATGCTACAGTTATAGGAGTCTCATATTTATTATTTATTTTTTCCATATTTAAGAATCAGAAATAAATTATATTGCTAAATATAATACATTTTAAAAGTATTAAAGACTTTTCATATAATTTGGTTAAATATATTTAGAATAATTTAGAAACCTGAAAATTGTATTGAAGCCTACATAAAGAAATTTTTGGATAAAGCAGATAATAATAACACAAAAGATCTTGTGGCTGTTTTTAGTAAATGGCTTCAGGATAGTGAACCTACAAGGATAATTAAGTAACTAATCAAAAATAAATAAGTTCCTACCCATTTAAAGTATAAAATGGAAACAGAAAAAAGTATATATGAATTTTAAGATTGCTCTTTCATTATTTTCTAAAGTCACTATTTCTTCAGGTTTTTAAGTCTTACCTATTTGATCCATGGCAGCTGCACCCAAAGTAAATTCTGGATCAAAAGCACTCTCTGAACTTCTGGTTAGGGTTGAATGGGACTGATAAAGTCCCTTCTGTCTTCCATACTCAGTAATTAGTTTATAATGACTATGTATAAAATAAAATATAAAACATATTAAGTCTACATCAACAAAGATAAAAATTATATGCACCAAGTATTGGTGTAACTCAAACCTTACATAATCAGATTATCACCAAAAAAAAAAATGTTGTTTTCATAAAGTCTGTAGAGCATAACCAATCATTCAATCTAGTCAGAGTCACAATATTATAGAACTGTAAGTTTAGGACTGAAAGGGTCTATATTTGTCATCTACTCTAATCTCTTTATTTTATAGATTAAGTAACTGAGTCCCAGAGAAGGTAACAGTTGTCCAACATTACACATATAGTGAGAGGCATGATTTGTCCCCAGGTCCTCTGACTCCAAATTGAGCACTGTTTCCCCTGTACCAAACTGCCACTCTATAAATTCTAATGTTGACTATTAATATTTATGATTTATTCTTTTCATTTATCACTCCTTTGAAGGCATCTAAGACATATTGTGATTTTCCCTAAAACTAACTTTAGGTCTACTATAACTGAGAGGTGTCAGCAAAGGTTAAAAAACAAACAAACAAAAATTACCTCTCTAAATCAGACAGTATAATAAATTACAGAACTTTTGTGAAGATCAAATAATAAAGTGTATGTAAAACATTGGAAAACCTTAAAGAATTATAAAAATGGCAGGTTTCATCATTATTATTTCTGAAAATTCTGATCTCAGATTACCTGACTCTACTTTGTACCCTGTCTCTTGCTCATGTCCTCCTAAATTTGGACAACCTAACTTTGCCATTTGCCCAATTTCTTCTTAGTGACTTGAAGTATGCTTGTCAGATGCTTGCTATTTTATGCAACTATGAAAGTCCCTGGGCAGTCTCAAGTACACGGGGGAAAAAACCTTTTAAATGCAATTGTATAAAGATAATTAGAACTATAATGTTAGAACTTACATTGCGCGACCACTGATTGTGGCATGGTCGTAAACTGTCTGTTGAGATTTATCTCGGCAAGAGACATCAACATCATATTGAAGAAGACGACTCACTATGCCTACTGGTTCACCAATGGCAGCATGCATGATGGGTGTCCTATAATAACAAAGAAACAATTTACATTTAAGAATTTAAAAAGTCACATCTAATCAGATTGGAGCATTGCTTATGTGAAGCAGGAAAAATGCAATTAAAAGCAGAAGAAAAGAAAGAAAGAATTTTTTTGTCCCCTTAGAGTTTTTTTGGGGATTGTCAAATTTAAGGCTTCATAATAGACAAGTAGACAGTTTGTCAAAGCCTTGTGTGTGCAACAGTTAAGGACTTTCTCCTGGGATCCTACACAGTTTTCATAAGTAGAAAACCAGAATTAAACCAAAAATTTGATCTCCAGTATCAAGATCGAAGAGAAGCATAAACAGGGAAAAAGAGAAAACATAAGGGAATCAGTAGAGCTAAACTGTGTACATCCCTACATGGGAAGATAATACTTTGATTCTTAAAAATCATGTCAATAATAGTACAGCTAGAAGGAAGATACATAGACAGAATTATGAATATAAGGCGAATTTTACACGAAAATAATTAAGCTATGACAAAGAGGAGTATACTGAATGCAGAAGGAAAGGAGAGATTGAATGTGTTAAATTTGGAGAAGATAAGAGGGTGCCCGATGGCCATTGATTGAACCTTACTGTCATCAATATTGGCACAAAGAAGGAATAATATAGACAATCATTTGAATATAGAAATCTATGTTACCGAACAGGGAAGTAGGAGGGGAGAATATGAAATTAAGGTAGGAGGAGGGTATGGGAGAACTGACAGAAGGGAGGGCAGATCAGGGGAGGTGTTCAACAGAAGCAAAACACTGGTGAAGAGGTAAAGGGTGAAAGGAGAGAGAGGACAAACAAGAAGAAAAATAGGATGGAGGGAAATTCTCAGTTAATAATCATATAACATGAATGTAATTGGCATGAACTCTTCATAAAATGGAAGCAGGTAGGAGAATGGATTAAAAACCAGAATACTACAATATGTCATTTGCAAGAAACACATTTGAAACAGAGAAATACACACAGAGCAGAGGTATGAGATTGGAGCATAATACATTATGCTTCAGCTTAAGTGTAAAAGCAGGAGTAGCCATCCTGATCTCAGAAATATTAAAAGCAAAAATAGATCTAATTACAAGAGATAAGGAAGGAAACTACATCTTGCTAAAAGATACCATAGACTATGAAGCAATATCAATTCTAAACATATATGTACCAAGTGGTATAGCATCCAAATTCTTAAAAGAGAAGTTAAATGAGTTAGAGAAAGAGATAGACAGCAAAGTTATGCTAGTGGCGGACCTCCACTGCTTCCTCTTAGAACTCAATAAATCCAACCAAAAAATAAACACTCAAGAAACTAAAGAGGTAAATAGATTATTAGAATAGTTAGATATGACAGAGCTCTGGAGAAAACGGAATGGGAACAGAAAGGAATATACCTTTTTCTTGACAGCATATGTTACCTAAGCAAAAAAACTGACCATGTATTATGGCATAAAAACTTCAAAACCAAAAGTAGAAAGGCAGAAATATCACATGTATTCTTTTTAGATTATAATGCAATTAAAGCCACTTTCACCAAAGGGTGCGAGAAAGACAGATTAAATGTTAATTGGAAACAAAATAATCTAATCCTAAACAATAAGCAGGTCAAAGAATAAATCATAGAAACAATCAGTAATTTCATTAAAGAGAATGACAACCATGAGACACCATACTGAAATGGATGTGATACAGCCAGAGCAGTGCTTAGGGGAGAAATTATTTCTCTAAATTTTTACTTCAACAAAACATAAAAAAGATGGGATCAATTAATTGCTTTCCCAACTAAAATAAATAAACAAAAGAAAAGGAAACTAGAAAAAATGAATAAAAAATCCCCAACTGAACCAAATGCCAAATTCTGAAAATCAAAGGTGAGGTAGTAAGATTAAAAGCAAAAAACAAAAACAAAAACTACTGAGCTAACAAATAAATCTGGAAGCAAGCTTTATGAAAAAAGAAGACAGATAAGCTATTGATTAATTTGATTGAAAAAAAAAGAAAAAAAGAGAAAACAAACTACCAGTATCAAAAATGAAAAGAGTGAAATCATCATCAAGGAAGAAGAAATTAAAGCAATCATTAGGAAATACTTTGCCCAATTATGTGTCAATAAATCTGACAATCTGAGCTAAATCAATGAATATTTTTGAAAATATAAATTACCCAGATTAATAAATCAGGAAACAGAATGCCTAAATAAATCCATCTTAGAAAAAGATACTGAACCAGCCATTAATGAATTCAGTATGAAAAAATCCCCAAGGGCCAGAGTGGTTCACAAGTGAAGTCAATCAAACACTCAGAGAACAATGAATTACTATATGTAAAATATTTGGAAAAATAAGTGGAGTCATAATAAACTCCTTTTATGACAAAAAAATGTGGTACAGATATCTAAAACGTGAAGAGCTAAAAGAGAAAAAGAAAATTGTAGATCAATTTCCCTAGTGAATATCCATGCAAACATTTTGAGCAAAATACTAGGAAGGCAATTGCGACAACTTAGCACAAGGATTATATACTACGACCAGGTGGGATTTGTACCAGGAATGCAGGGTTGGTGCAGTATTAGGAAAACTATAAGCACAACTGACCATATCCATAAAAAACCAACAGATATCATATGAATATCTAAACAAAAGCTGAAAAAGCTTTTGACAAATTACAGTTCAGATTCCTATTAAAAACACTGGAGAGGATAGGAATATAGGGAGCATTCCTTAAAATATAAGCAGTATCTATCAAAAACCTTCAACAAGCATCATCTATAATAGAGATAAGCTAGAAGCCCTGCCAATAAGATCAAGGTGAAGGAAGAATGCCCATTACCACCACTACTGTTCAATAGTGTACTAGAATTGCTGGCTATAGCAATAAGAGAAGAAAAAGAAATTGAAGGAAATAGAATAGGCAATAGGGAAACAAATTTATCGCTCTTTGCAACTGATATGAGAGTATACTTAGAGAATCCTAGAAAATCAACTGAAAAAGTACATGAAATAATTAACAACTTCAGCAAAATTGCAGGATATAAGATAAATCCAAGTAAATCATCAGGAATTCTTTTTTATGACCAACAAAGCTCAGCAGCAAGAAATAGAAAGAGAAATTCCATTCAAAATAACTGTAAACAATACAAAATACTTGGGAGTCTACCTACCAAGACAAACCCAGGAACTGTATGAACACAATCACAAAATGCTTTTCATACAAATGAAGTCAAATCTGAACAATGGGAAAAATATCAATTGCTCATGGGTAGGCAAAGCCAACATAATAAAAATCACAAGTCTGCCTGAAACCAATTTACTTATTCAGTGCTAATAAAACTGCCAAGAAAAGTATTTGACAGAACTAAAAAAAAAATCACCAAAAATTCATCTGGAAGAAAAAAAGGTCAAAATATGAAGGGAATTAATGAAAAAAAAAGTACAAAGAAAGGTGGCCTAGCAATACCAGATATATAGCAGTAATCATCAAAACTAATCTTGTATGTAAGAAATACAGTGGTGGATCAATGGAATAGATTAGGTACAAAAGACACAATAGTCAATGACCACAGGAACCTAGTATTTGATAAACGCAAAGACCCCAGCTTTTGGCAAAAGAGTTCACTATTTCACAAAAACTGATCAGAAAACTCAAAAACAATAAGAAATAAACCAACATCTCACATTGTATCCCAAGATAAGGTCAAAATGGGTGCATGATTTAGACATAAAGGATGACACCAAAAGCAAATTAGAAGAGCGAGGAATCAAGGAATGTGACCTGTCAGATCTATGGGTAAGGGAAGAAGTTATGACCAAATAAGAGATAGAGAGCATTATGAAATGTAAGATAGACTACTTTGATTATATTCAAATAAAAAGCTTTTGTACCAATAAAACGAAGAGTAGAAGGAAAGCAGAAAGCTGGGAAACAATCTTTATAGCAAGCGTCTCTGAAAAAGATCTCATTTCTCAAATATATACAGAACTAAGTCGAATTTGTAAGAATATAAATCATTCCCCATAATAAACAGTCAAATGATAGGAACAGGCAGTTTTTAGATGAAGAAATCAACGTGATCCACAGGCATATGAAGAAGTCCTCTAAATCACTTTGGATTAGAGAAATGCAAATTAAAACAACTCTGAGGTGCCACCTCACAATTATCAGATTGGCTGATATGACAAAAAATGAAAATGATCAATGTTTGAGAGGATGTGGAGAACTGGGGACAGTGACACACTGTTGGTAGAGTGTGAACTGATAAAACCATTCTGGAAAGCAATTAGGAACTATGCCCAAAGGGCAACCAATCTGTGTACACTCTTTGATCCAGTAATACCACTATTAGTTCTGTATCCCAAAGAGATTATAAAAAACAGAAAAGGACCTACATGTACAAAAATATTTATAACAACCCTATTAATGGTGGCAAAATATTTGGAATTGAGGGGATGCCCATTACTGAATAAGCTGCTGTGTATGAATATAATGGAATACTATTGTGAGCAGGCAGATTTCAGAAAAACGTGGAAAGACTCGTATTCACTGATCTAAGTGAAATGCATAGAACCAGGAAAACATTGTACACAGTTAGCAGGAACACTATGTGATGATCAACTGTGAATGACTCAGCTCGTCTCAGCAGCACAATGATGTGAAATAAGTCAGATCACGAAGAGCTCATGAAGGAAAAAGCTATTCACATCCAGATAAAGAGCTGACGGACTCTGGATGCAGATGGAAGCATAGTTTCTCCTTTACTTTGTTCTTTTTCAAGTTTTTGTCTTTTTGATCTGTTTTCTTCTTTCACAACTATGACTAATATGGAAATATATTGTACATGATAGCACATGTATGATCCATATCAAACTGCTTGCCAGTTTCAGAAGAAGGGAGGGGAGCGAGGGAGGGAGAAAAATTTGGAATTCAAAATTTTGTAAAAATAAAATGCTAACAATTGTCTTGACATGTAAGTGTGGGGAAATACTATTAAAAAAATTAACATTCAGAAGTGAAGGCTCAAAAAGATACCACACACATCTTTTGAAATATCTGCTCAATGAAAAATCTAAAAATCTAATCTATTACTTTTTAATATTCATATATTTTTATTTCCTTAGGAAGCAATCTTTCCCAAATGTTCCCATGTTGGTGTTAATGAAAATAGAAATAATGGTAGTTCTGTTCTATTTCATATCTATGCATTGTCACTCTTCAAATTTCATAAACAAATGCTCTCAGGATGATCTGATTTAGGCTTCATGTCAAACAACCTACAGGTTTATCTTCTCTTCAACTGCTTTTCATTATTTTGGAAAGCAATACTGGTCTTCATCTTCTATCCTCTTCCTCTTCATTTCATTTTGTTTTATTTTATTTTATTTACAAATTATGTTTTAGTGTAAGCTTGAGTTCATCTTAGCCATAATAGCTCTCTTTTTGGCAGAGATTATGTCTCCCAGCTGATGCCGTTTCTGGGCTCTTTTGGCCTTCTCTTTGAGGCAACTCCTTTGCATTAAACTTTTGAGAAATTTCATATGTCCACTGCCTAGCATAGTGCTTAGCATATATAGTGCTCGAATGTGTTAAATTTGGAGAAGATAAGAGGGTGCCCGATGGCCATTGATTGAACCTTACTGTCATCAATATTGGCACAAAGAAGGAATAATATAGACAATCCAGCTTGTTAACTGGGTAATAGCTATGTCCATTTCTCATCTGGGGGAGTTGATAGCATGCTTAATCACAAGAGGAAACAGCTGCTATGACTACTGTCTGCTTTTCATCTTTATCCTTTTTTCTCATTTATATTAATTTTGACCTTTATTCTGGACAGTCGATGATCTGAATGAATATAGACAACTAATTCCAAAATTATTCCAACAATTGTAATCAGTCCTATTTGTGTGTTAGGATAATGTCAGGTCCTTGTCTTTTTGTTTTGTTTTGTTTTGTTTTTCAATTTTGGTGATATCAAACAAGTTTCTCACATGCTAATGTTAAAATCATACAAGGCTCAATGACCCATGCCACACAAAGGGATAACTTGGTTCAATGAGTAAGTATCAGCATTAAGCTAGATGTAAATTGTGAGGCATATGCTCACCTAAGGTGTTTCCCAGTGTTACATAGGATGTCCTGGACAGGATCCAAATAGAACAGAGATTGTATATGATGGCAAAGATTTACAAATGCTCCTATTTGTGGATGACATTGTGCTGATTGTATCAAGCCCTGGAACAAAAAGCTCCTTGATGAAATCCAAACTTAGTCAAAATGTATTGGTCTAAGAATCCACCCTGAAAAAGTGAATGAAAAGTAAATATTTCCTAGATTACGTAGAGTTGAAAGGACAGCCCCATCTACTTGGTCAATCTATATCTTTGTAGAGGTGTTTATATGTGTCCTAATACACACGCACACTGCTTGAATGGGTATTGAAGAACAGCAGTGCACTGGGCTCATAATTATTGGGAAAAGGAGATTCAACTGAATTTCATTTGAGAAACTATACAGCACTTACAATGACTCCATTGCCACAAAAGTTCATTGTATAAACACCAATATTCTCTCAAGAATGCTATGTGGCCACAGTGATTTTTTAAAAATCCAAAAACCAAAAATAATCTCAGAAGGATCAAAACTGTAGATAATCTCAAAGGCCATGGAAATATGCATGGTGAGTATAAGGAGTTTCAGGCAATAATGACTTTGATGTAGGAAGTGGTATGACAGACATTCTCAAAGACATGGATAAACAAAAAAAAAAAAGAGGATGACCTAATCTTGTATTAAAAATAAAAGCCAGAAAGAATTTTCACTGCACTGTTCCTCATGTATTAAAAGAACCAGGAGAAAGCTTCAGTGTGTTTCCTGGATCCTCTATAGTGGATTTATGGAATGACAATGATGAAAATCATGTAGGATAAGAAGGCATGGAAAGATTAAAATATGTACCAGTCGCACAAGTTTCCACAATGATAAGATCATGGGTTCATCAAGTATTTCATCGTATTATTCTTGTATTGGTTTGTATTTCTCAATGTGCATATTCTTAAGGAAAATCAAAAAAAGGAAGAGGAGAAAACACACACTACAATTCTCATGGGTGACATGAAGATTATTTCATAAAGAGAATCACCTGAAACACCAGAGTACAAAACTTCTTTGGGATAATCTTAACTAACTTAAAATCAAATAAATAAAACTGCAAATAGTAATCACCAATTAACCAAGATTGGCAGGCCTACATGAACTGCTTTCTCTGTTGCAGTCAAGAATAATAGTTTTTTGGACATTTTTCACCCTTTCACAATGATAATCAGTTTTGATTATTGTTGTTCCATGTGTTCCATGGCTTAAGTTGTTCTTATTATTCTAGAAACTTTTCTCTCTTTATTTTATTTCAAGCAGTAATTACTGTACCTTTTAGTGTTATCCGTGGCATTCACATTTGCTTCATTTTTTAAGAAAAAATCTACCATAGCTAGATTATTTTCTCTAATTGCAACCACAAGCGGTGTATAGCCTTCCTGCAAAATCATGTTAAAGATATTGTTACAATATGTAAAAATTCTATATGTATACATCAATTCAGCTTAAGGCATTTTGTGAACATCCTGTGAACTTGCTAACAATTTGTTAAGGAGGTATGGTACGACGGAATTTTGGAGCAAGAAGACCAATCCTGCTTCTGTTAATTCCTGTGTGATCATAAGCAAATTATTTCACTTCTCTGGGTCTTAGTTTCCTCATATGTAAAATAACAGAATGAAACTAGAGAGCCTCTGGGATTCCTTCCAGCTATAAATTTGTGATCAGTATATAGAGACCCAGGATTTATAGGAGACTGTTCCATATTATTTCAGGAGTATGTTCCTTTCTTGCTATCTTTGTGTCATGAGAACTTATTGTCTGCATGCAGCCAACCTTATTTCCTCAGTACTTTGCCAAGCTAAAGCTATACCATGGTCAATTTTACATTTGCCTACTTCTCTTTACCTACTGCCCTTGAGTGTGTATAAGCAGCCTCAAAACTTAAGAAAATCTTGCCTCAAGGTGATTAAACCTGGAAGAAAGTCATTTTCATTGGCATATTCCCTCTCTTGTCAGCCCTCCTAAAATATGCTTTATGTTTTTTTTTCTCTCTCAAGTGGCAGTGACTAAGAGTTAAACCTTTTCCTAAAAATCAGGAGTTATTCAGTAACTATAGAAAGGAAAGGGTATATAGTCTTTAGGAAATAGGAAAAAAAACACATACACTTAAGAATTTATTCTTGCAAAAATTCTGTGTCTGTGTATTTTTATACTTAGTAGGAACACATTTTTAAAAAGATTTTAAAAAAACTTATGGCATTTCTACATGACAAATTAACATTGTGTTATCATATGTAAAGGTCTATTTGTAGAAAAAGCATTGTAGGCAAATATTTGGTGGAACCACTGTGTCCTGGGAGCAGACCTAATGTATCATGCAATCAAAATTCTGGAGAGACAGCTGCGATGGAATGGGCAGAGAGTCAGCCTCGAAGTCAGTAAGACCTAGATTCAAAGCCTGCCACTCACCCACATATACTAGCTGGGTGACCCTGAGGAGTCACTTAACATTTCAGTACCCTAGGACACTGCATAAAGACAGGGTTTCTTAAGTTTTGTTGTATCATGGATTCCTTTCCCGAATAACGTTTTTAAATGCGTAAATATATAGAATGTGAAGGAGGCCAATTACATGAAGACAACTATTAAGTCATTGTTGCTTTTTTAAAGATAATGTATCTTGTGTAACAATCCCTAGTCTAAGATTAAATTGTAGAGCAGGCCCTAGTCTAAACCAGTAGAGGGAGTTTCCTCATTAGGAAGTCCAACGTGAGTAAAATCTCCTCCCTTGTTGCCCACCCCTCCTCCTCCACCTCCACACTATTAGAAAATTCCAAAGGCCAATGAACGTTGACTACAGAATTATTTTAAGTTATTTTCATTAAAGAAATGCTTCCATGAATATATGAATTACAAAATATGTGAATTGGACACCACCTGTTGCACATTTTAACTCACAAAATAGTTTATTATACAAAAGGTGGGTTTCTACCTTGTTTTTTCCCTCAATGTCCATGTTGTGTTTCAGCAGCTTTGCTGCTATAGCTGTGTTCTGTCCAAAGGCAGCATAGTGAAGTGCCGTGTTGTTGTCGGTGTCCACAAGATTGAGGTCGCACCATGTTCGAGCAGGGTAGTAGCACACTCCTCATGTTGACACCGTACTGCCTGTCAATATAGTACAGAGAAAGAGACAATTAATGCTCTGAGATAAAAATTTAATATACTAAAACATCATTAATGTTATTTAAATAAGTTAGTAAACCATATTTTCTTTTTAAAAAATTTTTAATTTTATTAATTTATTTTGATTTATCAACAATCACTTCCATATACTTTAGAGTTGAAAATATTTTTCCCCTTCCTCCTCCCCATCCTCCCCAAGACGGCACACAATCTGATATAAGCTTTACGTTTACATTCCTATTAAACATATTTTCACATTAGTGAAGTTGTAAGTAAAAATTAAAACCAATAGGAGGAACCATCAGAAAGCCGAAACAAAACTCAACAGAAGGTAAAAATGAGTGATAGCGATTCGACTTCCATAGTTCTTTCTTTGGATGTGGACAGCATTTTCCATCCCGAGGCCTCTGGAGATGTCTTAGGTCCTTGCAATGCTGAGAAGGATTCAGTATAACAATATTAGTCATCGCATAATGTGGCTGTTATTGTGTACAAAGTCCTCTTGGTTCTCCTTACTTCACTCAGCATCAGACCATATAAGTCTTTCCAGGTTTTTCTGAAGCCTGCCTGTTCATCATTTCTTATAGCACAATAGTATTCCATTACATTCATATACCACAACTTGCTCAGCCATTCCCCAATTGAAGGGCATCCTCTTAATTTCCAATTCTTTGCCACACAAAGAGCTGTTCTGAATATTTTTGTACATGTGGGTCCTTTTCCCATTTGTTTGATCTCTTTGGGATATAGCCCTAGAAGTGCTATTGCTGGATCAAAGGGTATGCACATTTTTGTAGCATAGTTCCAAATTGTTCTCCAAAATGGTTGGATCATTTCACAACTACCCCAACAATGTATTAGTGTTCCAATTTTCCCACGTCTTCTGCAACATTTATCATTTTCCTGTTTTGTCATGTTGGCCAATCTGATAGGTGTGATGTGGTACCTCAGAGTTGTTTTGATTTGTAAATCATATTTTCTTAATCAGAGAGAAATCAAAAAGCATTTCATTGACCAGCATGATTAACTAGTACATACCTTCATCAAAGGTGTTAGATTATCATTGTCCAGAAGGTTTAGATCGCAGTTTCTCTCTACTAAGAGAGCTACAACATCTGGATATCCATTAGCACAGGCCAGGTGTAGAGGTGTCCTACGGAAATGAGAGAGCTATGTGATTGCTTCATAATATATTAACAACAATCAAAATTTTGCACTTATAAGTTAGTGTGATTTCTAACATAAAATGCATTATTATTCTTATGCCTAGACTCTAAATCACTGCCAAAATGAACATAAATGGATACCACTGTCACCCAAAGAAATATAAAATATGCATTAGCTCTTTTTGCTCGATATGATGGACAAAATTGCCAGGGGTAAAAACAAAAACAAAAACAGATTAAAAACTCACTACATATTGACATGGGAACTCTGCTCAGTTTCTGACCTCAGTTGGTTCACCTCCCTTTAGGCAAATTGATGGCCTCTCGTACTTTGGGATTCACCATATTGATGCCAGCCTCAACACAGACATCATTCTGGCATAGCCCACGAGATGCAAACTCATGAGTTCAAGAGATCTGCCAGCCTCAGTCACACTGGTAGCTGGGATTACTGGTGTGCATCACCCTGCTTGGCTGTTAAGTGTAATAATAACTTCTTTCCACTAAGAGCATCCATAATTACAAAACATTTAGTAAAGCAGCTGCCTCAGAAAAACATTTACATCTTTGCATATTGTGTATTTGTACAAGCACGTGTGCAAATGTGTGTGCATTCTCCACTAAAATCTTACTGCCACGTGACATTGGACAGTGGAAGTGAATCTGTGCTGCTAAAGGCCATCCCAGCAGGGTGCAAGTTTTGGTAGTTCTACCATGATGGCAAGGTTTTGAAGAGCCTGGTAGTCGCTGCCTGCCTTATAATCTCACCAATTGTGTCTTGCCAAGCCTCAGCCTTGAATCACTGCTGCCTTCTACTGTCTTTCTTCCTATACACTTGCTACTCAATAAAGGTGGAGAAAATCATACAACTGTGTTTACTAGATCTACTATAAATTTATGTTACATAATCTCAACTGGGCTCTCACTGCTGCAAGGCAATCACTTTATATTCTAGCTCCATGGTAAATTCCCTATGCCACTCACCAGAGCAGCTCTTGCAACCTTTTAATCCCTCCTCAAACCTCCCTTGGTTCACTATGTACCTTCTCAACTAAAAATCTTGCCTCATATTTTACAGAAAAAACTGAGGCCATTACCTGAGTCCTCCCTGTTCCTACCTCCTTCTCATCTAACGTACAAATGCCTTCTGCCACTATGTCCTTCTTCAGCCACCTCATAGGAAGAGGTGGCCCTTCTCCTTGCCACTGAGAATGCTTCTACATGTAGAAGTGATACCATTCTATCTTATCTCCTCTAATGGGTTATGCCCTCTATCATTCCTATTCTTATTTATCTTCAATCTTTCCCTGCCTACTAATTACTTCCCTGATAGCCTACATACATTCCCATATCCTCTCCCTCATTCTCAAGAAACCATCACTTGATCAATCTGTCCCCACTCTCATCCCACATCTCTCTTGCCATTTGTGGTTAGATGTGAGGAGAAGGCCTTTGACAACAGCTGTCTCCACTTCTTCTCCTGTCATTTTCTTTTAACACTCTACAGGCTGGCTTCCAAACTCTTCAAAGATACTAATGCTCTCTTAATTGCCAAATCTAATGGTCTTTTCTCAATTCTCATCCTTCTTCTCTCTGAAGCCTTTCAAACTAGACCACTCTTCTCCTTGATATTCTCTTCTCTCTAGGTTTTGTAACACTACGCTTTCTTGGTTCTCCTCCTAAGTATCCCATCCTCTCCTCCTTAGTCTCCCTTTCTGATTACCTCCTAGAATGCAAGGACATTCCCCGCTCCCCAAGTTCTTCGTATCTATTGCAGTTAGTTGGGTGCCTGATACATATAGCAGATGCTTAATAAAAGCAGAAATTAATTTTCTGCCTTGGCATTTTTACACTTCACATATCGTGGCCATGTTTCCCCACATGGGAGAGGCAACTAGAATGGACAGGAGTGCTGGGCGTGGAGTCAGGAAGACTTATCTTCCTGAGTTCACAACTGGCCTCAGATACCCATGTGACCCGGGCATGTCACTTAACCCTGTTTGCCTGAATTTCCTTATCCATAAAAGCAGCCGGAGAAAGAAACGGCAAACCATTCTAGTATCTTTGCTAAGAAAATCCCTCAAACACAGTCACGGGTAGTTGCACACAACTGAAACGACTCAAAAACTACATTTCACTAGAAGAGAGTAGTATTTTCCCAAGTTGCCATTGAGAAAATATAAGTTGGTTGGACCCTGGCTCAAAGTAAAATGAAGGAGTTTCCCGGTCATTAAAATTGAACAGGCAGGAAGGTGAGGTGACACCACCTTTCCGGACTTACTATCCAATGTCCAGGAGGGAAAGCCTGACCGTGATGGGAGGTGCTGTCCTGTCCCAGCTGCTGAGGGGAACAGCTTTTCCAAGGGTGAGTAAAGACACACAGACGCAAGGAGGGAGGCGTGGGGGGTGTCTTAGGCTGCCGGGGGGAAGGCTTCACTTCTCTCCCCTCTTCCCACTCCCTCTTACCGATTCATTTTATCTCGATCGTTCACGCCTGACTTCCTCAGCAGCAGCTGCTGCTGCACCTTCGCCACATCCCCAGTGGAGGCAGCTTTGTGGATCTTCTCCAGGTCCTTGGCCCTAATCAGGTATCCTGAATTAGGATCGGATTCTTGGACCCCGCTGTCCCTCCTCCTGAGGGCGGAGGTTGGAAGTGGATTCACTGTTCGCTTTCTGCGGAAACTGAAAATCTTTTTCATTTTCGCTACTGGACTTCAGAGCCGGTAGGGAGAAATAGGGAGGGGTTTTCTCTTGGCCTTTCAGCCTTCTCAGGGACCTCGCCTCCGCTACAGAGAACTGCAGTGGCCGGAGACTGGAGGTTAAGAGATTCCAGAGGGCGCAGCAGTTACAGAAGATTCAAGCCTAGTGACAGTTGTAGCCCTGGCAACGCCTCGAGGCAGACAATTCCGCATACATTTATCAGATCCTCCTGTGTCATGCATGGGCCCAATGGAAAAGTCATGCACAGGTGAGTGCGCATGTGCTGTTTCCATTAGCTCTCAGTGGGAGGGGCCCAAAGCTCTAGATCTGAAAGTGGCTGAGCACCAGGCTGCTTCGGGTGCTCCAGCTTCTTTCCTCTCTCGCGTTGAAAAGGGATGCACAGCAAAGTAGCGGGGATAAGGACGAGGTGTGGCCTAATGGGAAGCGTGCTGGATTGGATTCAGAGGATTCGGGTTCGAATCCTGGAACCCACTCTGTTACTTGCCTTTGCGAAGATGGAAAAAGTCCTTTTTCTCTCTGAGCCTCAGTTTCTTCTGTCAAATGAAGACGTTGTACTAGATGACCTCCGAAGTGTCTTCCAGCTCTTCATGACTCTGTGAAGCCCAGACTGAAACAAGTGTCATGGGGGTCTGCTCGGTGCCCTGGGACAAATACAGTCTAGCTTCTTCTTTCTTCTGGTTATCCCTTCCCCTTTCTTGCTTCCAGGAGGAGGGAGAATGATTTGTATGGGACAGGGAGCCTGGTCCAGGGAGGGTGGAGTTGGCATTAGCCAGGAAGCCCTGGGTTCAAGCCCAGCCTCTGCAGAATTATAATTGCCATATTGATGCTGTTATTAAGGGTGGGAAGGAAGGGGTTACAGCAGTTCACTGAAAAAACAAAAGATATGTCAGTTTTCGTTGATCATAAGTTGCTAAAAAAATTAAACATCCTTAGGCTATAGTAATAGAATAATAGTGTTTAAATCCCAAAGGATGATTCCATTTGACTCTGGGCTGAAGAAATGCAGTCCAGTCTATTGTGTTTAATTATGGATGCTACATATTAGGTGGTGATGGGGTACTTGTGCCCAAAGGCCCTATCTCTGGCAGTAATTCATGAGTAGACCCCAGTGAGGCAAATTATCTTTTCCTGTTACAAGAACAAGATGACCTCTGTAGAATTTTCCTTGTATGAACAAGACTATCTTGTACCAGCAGACCTACCGTATACAATCCAGAGGTCAAGCTATAGACGTAAATTCCCAACTCCCCAGGCTATCTTATTATAGATGTAGAGGTGTACAGGTAGAGATTCTTTAGAAGTTCTCCTCCCAGGCCACGCCAATAGCGAACGACACCTGTGCCAAAAGGTACAGAAACTGTATGTTCACCACCTAATTAGCAAACTTGGCACACCACTCACTGAACTTTTCCTATATAAGCTTTAGCATCACTCCTGTTAAGTTGTGAGTTCCCTAAGAAGCTCTGCCTGCCACAATAGTGGTACAATAAACTTTTTGTCCCTGGACTGGAAGACTACTTGAGTTTGTGAGTTCTTTACAGATGACTCTGCCCTGAACCAAGTTATTTTGTGGTCCCTGCACCCCTAAAACACATCAGAGGGAGATTGATAAATTCAGAGAGAAGAGATATGGATGAACTAAGAATGATTAAGATAGAGGAGACCACTGGAAGGCATGTCTATTTTCAAATATGTCAAGGGCCATTGTGAAGACCTGGGAGTCTCCAAAACAGATTGCTAAGACCAGTGATGAAAGGAGCCTGTTTTGGGCTGGTATAAGGAAAAATAAACTTTATGGCAATGGAATGGACTGCTTGTGAGACAATTTCCCTCAAGTAGAAGTTGTCTGACCGCAGTGCTCAAACAATTCTTACATTGATTGTAAGGCTGGACCGCACGATTTTTAAGGTCCCTTCCAACACAGATATTTGGATTCTCTATATATCATTGATAATGATACTGTTGCAGGATGACACTAGAATAGATCATCAAAGTTGGTTTTGTTTTTAAGGGACATATAATGTAGAGTAGAAGCTAGAAGATTTTTGTTCATTGAAATTAATTCAACCCTCAAGGCATAAGGAAATATCTGCAAAGGGGAATAGAACAGGTTATTCTCAAACTAGCCTTGTTGTTCCCCCACTTTTGCTTCTCTGCTGCTTTCTATTCATGACATGAATTCCTCTTCTCCTTCTCCATCTTCTCATTCTCCATCTTCTTTAGCTTCTAAAGCTCCTCCTCCTCCTCCCCTCCCTCCCCTCTCCCCCTCCTCCTCCTCCTCCTCCTCCTCCTCCTCTCCTCCTCTCTCCTTCTTCTTCTTCTTCTTCTTCTTCTTCTTCTTCTTCTTCTTCTTTTCTTCTTCTTCTTCTTCTCTTCTTCTTCTTCTTCTTCTTTCTTCTTCTTCTTCTTCTTCTTCTTCTTCTTCTCTCGTCTTCTCCATCTTCTCAATCTTTTCCTCCGTCTTCATTAGTTTCCAAAGCCCCTTGTCCATCTTTTCATCCTTCTTCTCTATTTTCTACTTCTTGTACTCCTCCTCCTCCTCCTCCTCCTCCTTCTTTTTCTGTCCAAACAACCAAAATGCAAGTTAATCCTATACATCTTTTGGTTTCTATAGTGGACTGTTTTTGGTGCAGTGTGTAAGTCAGATGATCCGTATGTTGTTGGTTTTACTTGTGACATGACTTGTCAACATTTCTTCAAGGGATAGACTCTCTCTGTTCTATCAGCCGTACCTGATATCCTACAGAACCTCAATGCTGTCTCTAAATGGCATAATGATAGGGGCAGCTAGGTGGCACATAGGATAGAGCACTGGCCCTGGAGTCAGGAGGACTTGAGTTCGAATCTGGCCACAGACACATAATATTTACTAGCTGTCTGACCCTTGGCAAGTCACTTAGCCTTATTGTCTAGCCAAAAAAAAAAAAATAGATGGCATATGATGTTCAATAACATTTTCTATGATATACTATCGTGACTACATTTGGGCTATGGGTTGGCTAGTTAGAAGTCCTATTTAACAAGTAACAGAATCATTACTTACATATTATACTGTGTACAATTTGTGGTTAGAAAATTAGTAATGCATTTTACAATTATTTTCTAACATATATATATATATATATGTATATATATATATATATATATATATATATATATATATATATATAGATGTAAACCTATTGGGGAGAGTGCCAATGTGTGTTACCAAAAAAAAAAAACCTAGCTGATATATATAGGGAAAAAAATATGGAAAATAAATTAAATTTGTTAATGCTTAAAATATACAGGCAAATTATTAATTAAAAGCTTATGCCTTCGGGCAGCCAGGTGGCACAGTGGATAGAACATTGGCCCTGGAGTCTAGAGGACCCAAGTTCAAATCCGGCCTTGGACACACAATACTGACTACTTGTGTCACCGTAGGCATGTCAGTTAACCCTGATTACATTACCTCCCCCCCCCCCAAAAAAAGCTCATGACTTAATGTCAAATGTTTGGCAGAAATCTGTTATCAAATTTGTGATATTTAAAAATATTTTCATGAGTTTTTAATGAAGACAAATGAAAATAGACTAGATGAAAGCTAGTTGAAAATGGACAAGTAATTTTTATTATAACTATTATTGGTGATACTAAGAGTTCCCCTGTACTTACTATCTTGTGGTTTATCCAGCACTTTACATACTTTATCTCCATTTTTACAACAGTCTTGTGAAATAGGCAGTTTCTTTATGGTTATCTCCATTTCATGGCTTGAGACACAGCTAATAAATGACAGGGGCTGGATTTGAACCCAGTTCTTTGGATGCCAAATCTAATAAAGCTATCTGTTATGAAGTTTCTCTTTGGTTTTCCTTTTTATAGAGCACATTTGTGTAATGTGTGCCGTTTTGCCCATCTCTTTCTGAGACTATATAGATTCTGTCTATATAGGATTTAGTCTATATATATGTGTGTGTGTGTGTGTGTGTGTGTGTGTGTGTGTGTGTGTGTGAAGTCTTCCCATTGGTTCTCAAGGCAAAACTTAGCTACCTTCCAATTAATGCAAATAATGAATCTTATGAATTAGTCACATTATCTGGATTGCAGTACATGTTTGAATTGGACTGTAATAAACTGCCATAGTTTACATAACTATAACTTCAAATACTGTGAATGTATGGGACAACTTATGGGAATTCATTATTTATACTAATTAATACTTATCTGTATACCCACAGTTCTGGCTTAAAAACCAATGGGGAGGGGAGAGGTGGGTGGCGCAGTGGATAGAACACTGGTCCTGAAGTTAGGAGGACCTGAGTGCAAATGTGGCCTTAGATCAAACACTTGACACTTACTAGCTGTGTGAACCTGGGCAAGTCACTTAACCTCAATTGCCTAAAAATAAATTTTTAAAAAAAGGACCAAGAGGAAGCTGAAATCCCTGCCCTCCCCCCTCCCCATTTCCCAAAATGTTCCTGTTTCTTTATGGCTTGCAATCATAAGGATTCTTCAAAACTTCATGGTAGAGTAGAGTAAGGGAACAGTGGAAGCAGTATATCTTCCAGAGTCAATAGGTGATTGAACAGCAACCTCAAAACGGATGAGCCCAGGAGACTTTGTAAGTTTCAAAAGGTCATGAGGCCATTAAAGGTCTGGTTGTAGTATCTTCAAAGTGGTCAGTTATGGTGGCAGCAGCAGCAAGAGTGTGCTGGGTCAAAAGGAAGGGTTGCTATTTGAGAAAGAGGAGTCATTGGAAAAGATCTTCCTTGAAGATCTGTATGTGTCTGTGCGTGTGTATGCGTATAACTATGTGTGTATATATATATGTATATATATATATATATACATATATATACACACACATATATATGTATATATGTGTATATATGTATATATGTATATATGTATATATATGTATATATACATACACACATATAATAAACATGTATGTCTATACTTATACATATA